TATATATATATATATATATATATATATATATATATATATATATTTTGCACTTGAGAGTAAGAAATCGGACTTGAGTTAGGCTGCATTATCGGGAAGTATAAAATTATTATTAAAAAAATTAAAGGATCAAGGTTTAATAATAACTAGCAGTGATGAAAAATTCTATAATCCTCCAAACCTAGTCATTAAACGGGGAAAAAAATTAAACATGCAATGGCACCATTAAAATGGTTAAAAATTGAGCATAACATTTGATTGGGACCACATTTCACTGTTCTAAATTACCATTTGCAATACAAACAGCAGGGGAAAACGTTTCCCCCATTCATTTTCAACTAGAGGGGGGGCCTTAATGATGATTGAAAACGACAAATATTCATACAAGGGGTGAGAGGCCTAAACACTAGAAGTAGAAAGGCTCTCCCTCACACATACCACAGGTCAATTAGCCCATGGCATATTTCTGGGTCCAGCTTCTGGCAGTTGACTCGTACTTGTTCCTGTCTGTCTTGTACATGTGGGCGATTTCCGGGACCAAAGGATCATCAGGATTAGGGTCCGTCAACAGGGAACAAATTGAGAGCAACACCTAAACACGTAAAAGACAGAGTAAACAATCCTTAGTTGCAATTCAACATCTTGTTCTGAAGAAGGAGCACTTTGACTGGTTATGCTTAAAACCTCAGGCTACGAAACCCTCATAACAGCTTGACTGCTTGAAAGTGTCAACTGCAAGGCTACATATTGTGGTCTCCTTCCATGAGAGTTATTAAAAATTAACCATATAATTCCAAACTTTATGCAAATCAGCAGTTCAGACTTCTTTGCAGAGAAATACAGAGATTTTAAATTTTCCACTAAGAACAAAAATGATTTTACATCATTTTTTATGAGTTGATATATCATACTTTAGTATTAGTATGCTATGCCCTATAAATATTATTGATCATTAAGGCTGTGAAATTGTCACATCCCCATTTAGATAAACTTTTTTTTTTATCATTAAGAATTACAATAACGACAACAAAATTCAAACAACTATCTCAACACTCCACCACTAGGCCAAGCCTAATAATTTTTTGGATAAACATTTATATAAGTACTTATTGGAAAAAAAAAAAGTAAAATGAAATGTTTCTCAATAAACTAAAATTAGCTAATAAATTCTTTCATATTAGCATCTCAAAAAAGTTATTTTAACTTGTGCATCAACTTATTTTAACTTATTAAAAAACTCGTTTCATTTTCTGTTCTTAATTTTAACTTATAAAAAAACTTATTTCATTTTCTCTTCTTGTTTTCTTCTCCTACAAGTGCTTATACAAAAGTTAATTCAAACAGACTCTAAATTTAGATGGTTTAACTAGAAGAATGATTAAAACATTGTTTAAGGAATAAGAGCTTTTCTTATTTGTGATAAATCAAGAAACCGACCTTCGAAATAGTTAGCGCAGGGCTCCACTGCTCCTTCAATATGTCAAGGCAAATGCTTCCATTGCTATTAATATTTGGGTGAAATACCTTCGTCCTGAATGCAACCTGAAAGGCATCCACAATCCACGAGTATACACAAGATCAGCTGAAGGAGTAGCACAGTGCTCATGATGGCATACAAATTAAAATTATACTACTACATATACATACACACACACACACACACATATATATATATAAGGTAGAATTTTCAACAACATAAATGCTGCAATTTGTCCTAATTTTGAAAATATCGGGACCAAACACCAAATTTTAAGTTATGTTCGGAAATGAGAGTGTTATATAATATGCATTTACTGTTAAGAGGCTCCCTTGGAATATAAAAGCTCCAAACAAGCTAAATAAGTGGTAAAAATGAATCATGGCATTCTTTAAAAAATAACTGGTATAGAATTGAAAGAAGTGTAAAAACACCACAGAAACAGAAAGATCTATAAATACAGACCTTGGGTGGCTTAAAGGGATAATCTGGAGGGAAATGAATAGTGACTAGGAAGACACCTCCAGCATAAGGACTGTCTGGAGGACCCATAATTGTTGCTTGCCAGTGAAACATGTCTTCAGCCACAGGACCTGCAATGTTTCAGGAAATAACAATGGGATAAGCGCAAAGTTCTTCTCAACAACACATAATTAGACTGGGCAGATTCGTAAGTCCTAAAATAACCAAGCACAGAATAACATCTCATGCTCCCAATGGGTAGGCTTATAGCCTGCTGATACTAGAGAGAACTAACAAAGCAAATTTCCAACAGTTTTATCCAACTATATTCACAATACTAGTAGCATGATTATGAAGCTACAAAATAATGTATTTCTTCAAAATAAACCAATCCAAATATGCACAACAATTATACCATGAAGCGTCTATTGGGAATGAAGATCTAGGTCATATGAAAGCCTTAACTTGATTTAATAAAACTTAGCAGACAAATTAATTTCAATCATCCCTCAAATCAGGTTACAGAATAGCACAAGCAGAGATCCACAGTGAAAAATAAGAGTTCTCATAATGCAGAATATTATTGACAATACAGATTGTCGGATCATACTAAGACGGTAACAACAACATGTACAATTACAGGAATTCCAATTTCCCTATTGCAATTTTGGTCATGACTCGCACAAGCGCAGCACGTAACAGAGGCATGATCCAGACAACAACATCACCATTTATCAAGCAACAAAACAGAACCATGCGAGCTTAAAACATGCACAGAATTGTTCCAATGGAAAAAAAAAGGATAGCACAGAATTGCACAGGTCCATAAAATGTACAGCCGTGAATTCGAACAATCGACATGAACATCCCTCACACGCACACAAATTTTAGCACGAAATCAGCAGAATCGATTCACCTTCAGCATGAGGGTCAGATCGAAATATTTGTCCGATTTAATTTATATTAAAAATATTATAGGCGAGGGAATGGTTGCATAAAGATTGAAAATGAAAGAAGAATCGTAAATACCAGCGCTGCAGGAGGTAGGAGGATCCTTCTGGAGATCCTTGAGTTCCTTCAAGATCCGCTTGGACGCCATCGCCAAAACCTAACAGAAATCGAAAATGAGATGAGAAGGCAAGAAAACGCAAACAGATTGATAGATCTCCGATTACCTTGTTGCTGTTGTTGTTGTTTTGAATAATTTGTGTGAGGCGTGAGCCTGAGAGAAAGCTGAAAATGTAAGAGATTTGGATTTGGTGAAAGGAAAAGAGCTTTTATAAATGTCTGGTGCGCCTCCCTTGTCCCTTCCTTCCCCTTTCCTTTTTACAATTCCTTCTCTTCTTCTCTCTCGTTTTCCTATTATTATTATTATTATTAATATTATTATTATTATTAATATTATTATTATTATTATCTTTTCCCAAAGAGAACGGGTGTGGGTCCCTACTTGCGTTTTCTGTACGAAATCCATTCCTTTTTTCCCACCCAGGGTCAAAAAGTGGCACCCAAAACCAAAAGGAACGGTCTTTGTTTCCGCTCCTATTATTCCTTAATCCAAACCTCTCTCCTCTCCACCTGCGTAACCGTGTTCCGCGTCTTAACGCTTTTAACGCACTCATTATTTTTATCTAAATAAATATCTCCTCTCTCTTTAACTATATCTTACTCATTCATAATTAACACTATAAACAGTTTTATAAGATCTCAAACGTTTGAAAAATTATATTTCAAACAAGTAAAAAATCAAAATTATAAGAGAGAGAAAGAGTTTTTTTTAGAAATTAAGAGACAAAATAATGTGTACCAACAAGATATGTTGTTTTAAGAGCATCTACAATGGGAGTTGCTCAAAGCAACTCCCAACCACTTTAAATGGGTCTCACTGTGCCACGTCACTCATAAGCAACTCATACTACATTTTTACAATTTTTTCTCCAATGGGAATTGCTTATAAACACTCTTACTTTTTACAACTCATACTACACTTTTTTGACACCTCACACTACACTTTATGATAAACTTTTATAAAATTAATTATTATGAATAATATATAAATATGAATAATTAACAAATTAAAAATTATAATAATAAAAATAAATTTATTGATAAAAAGAAATACCAAAAATTACAATAATAAAAAAAATTACATAATAAAGAGAAATTACATAATAAAGAGAAATTACATAATAAAAAGAAATACCAAAAATTACAACAAAATTAAATATAAAAATTAAATACAATCACAATAAAAACTAGTCTAATTTGCATAAATTAAAATTACAATAATATTTAATCTCCTAATTTGCGCCTAATAAAATTACAAGCCAATTCATGATCTTTGAGCTGCTTCTCAGTCATTCCAGATGTGTCCTTCATGAGAGTTTCATACATTGCACTAAAGTTAGCTGCTTTCTTCGCTTCAGCCAATTTCTTTACTGCAGCACTTCTTTCTAACATTGCTTTTGTCATGTTCTCCAACTCCTCTTTGTTGGAAGATGTTTCGCCAACCTTTCCTTTACTTTTTCTCTTCGCTGCTTTTTGACCTATTGGACGAGACATTGGTGTTGTTGGGTCATATTCTTCACAATCATTGGCTGCATCTGTGTTAGAAGACGTTGAGTATTGCCCAGATTTTGAAATCTTTGATCGTTTGGAAGAGCTCTCCATTGATTCCGATTTCCATTTTGGCTCATCTCTTAATAATAGCCATGCATGCTCAAAATTGAATTTTTCACCTACATCTTGCGAGTAAATTTTATATGCATTTGCCATGATGTCTTTTTCTGAGTTGCCTCTTTTTTTTATTATCACGAGCTTGTTTATAACATCCGACAAATAATTGAACAGCTTTATTCATTCGAAACCAACGACTTTTTAACTGACCTGGATTTCTTACTGGAAATTGATTGCGATTGTTGTTATAATTCTCCTTGATTCTAATCTAGAAACTATTTCCAGTTTGATCAACTCCAACAATTGGATCCTTCGAAATGTTGAGCCATGATTGAATAAGTAAATTATCCTCTTCAACAGAAAAACTTACACGTGATTTTTTTTGAGTAGATATTTCTTCTCCTTGTTGCCTTCCAACATCAAGTGTGATGTTCTCTAGCCCTACTTGAGACTCGGATACGGAACCAATTGGTGAATCTGTTTCGGAAAAATTTGAAGGCCTAAAAATTATATTGGGATTGGTTGGTATCGGTGGTGGATACATAAAAAAATGGGGATTTGGAAAATTATTATTGGTTGAATGTGGTGGTGGTGGTGGATACATAAAAAAATGGGGATTTGGAGAATTATCATTGCTTGAATGTGGTGGTGGTGGTGGGTATGTAAAAAATTGAGGATTTTGAGAATTTTCATCGGAAGGGATTGGAGGTGGTGGTTGGTTTTGTAAAAAATTAAAATAACTTTGAAAATTAAATTGATTGGGATCCATGTGGTAGAATATAAAAAAAATTACAAATGAACAAAAAATAATAATTTTTTTTGGATGCCAATAGTAAACGTGAATAATAAACGTGAATAGTAATTTTTTGAAATAAATTGTAAACTTGGATAATGAAATGCAAATTAACCGAACAATAACTGCAAATGAACTACACAATGTGAAAAATAGAGTGCAAATGAACTACTGAATGTGAAAAATAGAGTGGAAATGAATTGAAAATTGGACATCAATTTATACATAAATGTGCAACAGCTCTTTAACATCTCTCCAACGGCTCTTTCAACGTCTCTCCAACGTCTCATTTTTCTTATTTTCGTTTATGAACGTCTCTCCCTCCCTCACTCTCTCGTCACTCACTCTCCCTCCCTCACTCTCTCATGAACGTCTCTCCCTCCCTCACTCTCTTCACTCACTCTCCCTCCCTCACTCTCTCATGAACGTCTCTCCCTCCCTCCCTCTCTCCGTCCCCCCCCCCCCCCCTCTCCCCCCCCCCTCCCCCGTCACTCACTCTCCCTTCACTCTTTCTTCACGGGTCGCGCATGGGGGACGGTGGCTGCTAGCGGTCGCGCATGGGGGGCGGTGGCTGCTGGCGGTCGCGCACGGGGG